TTACTGAAATGTTAGTGTTCAATGAATAAATGTTTGTCCTATTTGTAAACTGTACTCGTGGCATCCATAGTAACCTACTATTACTGTTACTGTTACTACTACTGTTACAGAGATCTCTGTCGGCCCCTATTGGGACCATTACTGTTCACTGTTTGATGGACATCAACTGACTGTTCGGTCTGTTAAGACCTACTGTACTACTTTGCTATTGGATGTACCACATATGACTTTATGTTTCCTAAATGATCGTTACGGCATGAAATATGAGCCACTGATTGAATAACTAATATAATTGACTGTTTTAATTACTGAAAGGACATTCATTCTTAACCCCTTTATGCATATGTTATTTACTGGGCTTTAGCTCACTGTTTATATTTATATGTAGGTGTCCAGCCACCGGACCGATGCTAGGAGCGTCAGGTTAAGCTCTCGTTTTGTCAAGCCAACCGTTGTGCCTCACCTCGAGGTTCCTAGTTCATTCAAGCCAGGGCCGCTTTGGGGTGTTTAGGACCACCCTTTTGTCTCTGTTTTGTAATAAATGAATAAGTTTTGACTATACGGTTATGTTGAAGGGACTTGGTCCCTAACTCGGATGTTATGTATATGTCTGATATGTATATATGTTTTGTTTATCAACGTGACTTGTGCATAAAATCTTTTTGCATTCAGACTGTCACAGCTTATTGGACATCTTTTATTTACTATTTTGGCTTCCGCCAACCCCTTTACTCTGTATTACTGTCATTACTGTTAAGTAGGCCTTCGGTAATCACGGATTACTGGCCGATTACGGTACTAAACCTATAGGGGTGAGTTTGGGTCGTGACAATTAGAGAGACGTGGACGTGGACGTGGAAATGCTCGAGTTCATGATGATGACATGCACATTGCCATGGATGATGATCCTATACATGGTGCACCAGTTTTGGACGATATTGCTATAGATTATGACCCTACTGGTGATGATGCTGACATTGTTGATGAAGATATCCTTACTTAGCCATTTCCGGGAGGGCCAACTAATCCATCAATCCTTAAAAGTTTAAAAAGTCATGTTGCCGCAACTATTTGGAATGGTGCTGATGAAAGGGGGCCCTTGAAGTGTCGTAATCACTCGTCTAAGATTCATTCGTGGCCTTAGTGGGAACAAGGAAACAACGCTACATTTGTAAACATTGTGGAGATGTCAGGACTTGCACAATCAGCTTGTTGCACGTACCGCTTTGTCAACAAAATTGTAGTGTCTAGTTTTGTTGAGAGATAGCAACCAGAGACAAACACCTTCCATTTGACTGTTGGAGAGATGACTATCACATTGGACAATGTCACCACCATCTTAGGGCTTCCCATTGTAGGCAAATCTATTAGTGTGCGTAAGTTGTCAGAAAGGTGGGCCATTGCATTAGTAGTTAATACCTTGGAAATTGATAAGCAAGACGTTAGACATGAGATATGTAGTGCTGGAGGCAATTCAGTGAGGCTTGAGTGGTTGAGGGCACACTTTCATAATGTCACAGGAAATGATTCAATGGAAAGAATTGTATGTGCAGGTAGAGCATACTTACTATTTTTGTTAGGTTGTACACTTTTTAGTGACAAGACTTGTACTAGGGTCCTCGTTGTTTATTTGAGTTTGTTATCCGATTTGATGACTATATCTTCATATGCTTGGGGTGCTGCTGCATTGGCATACTTATATAGACAGATGGGGTACGCTAGCAGGTTCAGCGTAAAACAATTAGCCGGTTACATGACACTCCTTGACGAATGGATTTATGAGCACTTTCGTGGATTCCGACCACACTTGAATGTGAATTACACTCGAGACATACCACATGTTTACTGTTGGACTTCTCGGAGAGAGTCTGGTGAAGAGACACAGTTGCAAGCTTTTCGAAAGGAGCTTGATAGGTTGGGTGTATATGATGTAAGTTGAAAAGTCCGTCAAAATTTGAAACTCTATATCATACAAAAATTACAGTTGTCATATCTTACAGTTATTATTGTTTGCAGGTTATTTGGACCCGTACCAGAATTGTAGAGATGTCCATCCGTGTCACCCAGTTACGTTCTACCAAGGTTGCCTAAAGTGTTTGGAAGTAGTTGAACCATATCACCCTGATAGAGTTTTGAGATAGTTTGGCAGAGTGCAAACAATCCCTAATCCACCACTTGGCCCTATGCGTGCTTCTCAAGGAGCCACAGCTCCACGCTACAATGTTATGTATGTATACTTGGACATCATTTGGGAGGCATGGGACAACCATGTGTTATCTGATTGGAGGAGGAGTACACCGGTACGGCAACCTTGGGATTGTGTTCCTGGTTACATGGATTGGTACCAAACCATTACCCATATGTATGTACGAAACCTAGCGCGTCGTTCTCAAGTGGACCCTAATATCCATCATTATCAGTATCCTAGCCAAGACGCACAAGTATCATTTTTTTCATTTACATTGCAAATTATTTATGTAAACTGTTACAAGTTTGTATATAATGTTATATTTGTTCTCGTAATGTAGCGTATGTCACAGATATATCAGATTACTCATCATTTCGTTGAGGCTGGCTATGAGGACAGTGTTCAACATCCTGATAGGCTTTACTATGCAATTGATGCAATCGAACAACTTCTTCAAGATCAGCACATTATTGAAGTTGCGCCCAGCACATCCACTTAGGGTCGGTCTGCACCCAGCTCTTCCATTGCACATCATTTTGGAGCACATTACACTCGCCGGTCACGTAGTTAATAGTAGTTCATAATGTTAGCGCAAGTAGTTTCTGATGTATAAGGAGACAAATATTATTATTATCTTTGGATTATGTATTTTTGGGTTATGTACAAGCACACATGTAGTTTGTGATGGTATGGATGGATTGAACTACTATTTAATATTATTATTATTTTTTTACGTACTTGTTTAATCATATTACATTTTAACAGCAGTTGCACTTGGTTAATATTATTTTCATTACATTTTGTGTTTAGACAATGTAAAAATAATATGACATCCATTCCATAAATTAGAGAACTATAACGCATATAATATTCTTTTTTTTTATAAAAAAAAATTGACCATTACAAAATCCAATGGCAAAATGATATCCATCTCGTTACTCCATGCTAGTAAATCATAAAAACTAATGTCTTAAAGCTGTCATTACTACTCTGTAATACATCAATCTACGTCAACTACATCAAATGTCTCTCGAGTAGCTACATTAGGTCCTATGTTGTCTTTGAATTTTTGAATGCGGCTAACATATGCATTCTTCCATTCTGATGCACAAGGGTGATGGTGAACTCACCAAAGCACAGCAATGGGAGGAACTAGATGACCGACCTCCAAAAATACCTGCACGTACATCCAATAAATTACATATCTTTACCAAATACATAAAATTTGCAGTTACACAAATATTAGACAACAATGTTCGCTTATTTTCATAACTTATACCTGCACAAAATGGTTTCCATTGACAAATCCAATGACAATCTCACGACGATTAGCTAGGGTTACTGGCAATGATCTCAAAGGTAAGAAAGTGCAACACTGTTGCAATGACAAGTGGTACAAGACTACATTATAAAACGATGCAATAAGATGTCCCATGTCAGGCATAGTCATCTAACGATCAACGCTTGGGCTATCTTCAAAATATGAAAGGATGTGTGTCAGTTCCTTAACCCTCTCATGCGACTCGTATAGTACGACGTATTCATCTCTATGATTATTCAATTCAAGTAGCAGATCACGCCTAACTTGCACCCAATCATTCTCTCCAAGACCAAGTAAACCCGCAATAGCTCTAAATCCACAATTCCCATCACCATCTACATCCTTCATTAAATTTATGAATAGTATTAACATAGACGGGAAGTCACCAACATATGTACTCGGTAAACTTGTTCTTGTACGATATGTCTTTGTCTTCACATTCCGCTGCTTCTCATGCACTTTTGAAGCTCTCTTTTTTTTTGACTGACTGAAAGCTAATGTGCTTTGGCTAACATGTCCATCGTCAACCAACTCAAATGCACACGGGTCACGACGACAAGATATATCAATTTTCTTATGTCCTCGACGTGGATTAGGTTTCACATCAGGCTCAATAAGAAAAGTGCTTGCTGGATTTGCAATTTCCCTCAACTTTTTCAACATATCCAATTGCATAGCAATATTAGACTCTTTGAACTGCTTCGAAATCATCTCAAGTTCTGGGATACAAGTCAATTCCAACTTCTCAACCTTAGGATTATGCACACATATAGTAAGTCACGTCCAATGTACATGTATGCTACTAAGTGGAATAGGACGGCCTTGTCTCATGTAATTTGCAATCTTGTGAGCACAAGGTAAACTATACATGCGCCTAAGAACACACCCACATGTTGCAACATCAATTCCAACTGAATTTGCTCTCTTACTCTCTGCTAACACGTACTCTAATGCACAAATAGACACATTACCCCGGAGCTCTCTGAATTGAGAAGGTTTGAATTGATGTTGTACAGTTGTCAAACTCTTCTCGAATGATGCTTTAACTTGAATGTGCTGCAACTCAAGTAGACAATGTATTTTTTCAAATAAAATCTCAAATGTCATTTGACTTGAACCTAATTGCCTCTTCAATCGAGCATGAGCACTCTCAACCTTGTTCATATGGATGTAAACCAAAATAGTCAAGTATAATAATTAAAAATAACAATACGATTTATAATAAATTAAAAAAAAAATCTTACCGATTGGTTGTAACATTGCCAAAATGCATACACATGTCTGTATGTACCGCAATGAATTTTTCTTGATACGGATTCAACCAACTCACAGTAACATACTTGATTGCCTTCGAATAGTTACTGAAACCCTTATGTAGTGTTGCAAGGTGATCATTGTATTCCTCTTTAGTTGATGACAATATCAAATAGTTCCATGCAGTGCTAAACTTGTCCCATTTTTCTTTTGTCTCAAACATTTTCTTGCATTTTGTTAATACATTCTTATTAATATGCCAACGACATAACAAATGTCCAACATTTGGAAAGGTGTTGTCAATGGATTCATCAAAGCAAGCTCTCTGTCTGTGACAATGACTTCAGGTAAAACACCGTCGTCCACAAGATCACGCAATGTTTGTAACACCCATGCATAATTATCAACCCGCTCGGTTTGCAAGTATGTGATAGCCACGGAGAATGTCATATGAGTTGATGTCACTCCCATAATTTCAAGAAGAGAAAGTTGATATCTATTCGTCTTATATGTGCCATCTATAATCACACAAGGGAATGTACGAAGCAAATCCAAACTCACTGGATATGCCCAAAACAAGTCCGTGACAGTCATAGAGCCTTCCTCACATCGATGACGCTCAATGTACTTATGTTTCGCTAATTCACCCAGCAGTTGTTGCATCTGGGATCTACCAGCTTTCTGTAGAACCTTACATCGATGTCGTACATTGTAAACTGTCTTCATTGTGCTCATATTAAGGGCATCCCTCTGTTTGAGTGTAATGAGTATCTCTTTTGGTCTTACTAGGCTCTTTGACATATCTACTAACAACGACTTTTCATTGGTTGACAATTTCCCTGCATATGAATGTCCTTGGAGATGCACTGCAGCTAGATGATTATGCAGCCCGTAAACTATATTCAATATCCATTCATCGTTTGTTTTCAACTTGAATACCCTCAAATCAAATGGACATTCGCATTTCTTCATACCAGTTTGTCTCAATAAGTCTTTTGAGTCATCTTTCAACTTTTAACACAATCTATACTTCCCACTCCGCTCACAAGCAAGATAAATTCTTGGTCTCTTACGACTGCCACCATAGTCCGACGTCCTTATAATAATAACAAAGTCATTTATCCTTCCAATGTCACGCACCCAAGTGGGCAATTCATCTTTGTTGTCGAAAACCTATATATAATGTCACACAACTTTCATAAGAACAAACTAAACAAACTAACTAATACAAATTATGAACTTATGAATTTTATGTTAAAAGTTACATGTTTAGCTGTAAAATGACTAGTACAATCCACCATAATATCTGATCGAACCTCAAGTTCTTCAGTGCATGCCATCTAAAAAGGATGGGGGAAAAATTTAATTCGGTTTTACAGAGCCGAAGTAAGTAAAAAAAATTCGGAACTACAAAAACGAAAGTAACAAATAATTTTAGAACTCTATAACCGAAAAAGTTAATTATATTCAGAACTTAAAAACCGAAATAAATTAATAAAATCTGCATTAAAGTGACGAAATATGTAAAAAAAATTGGTACTTTTGTAACGAAATATTAATTTTATTTCGGAAGTTGATTTCCGAATTAATTCATAAAATTAAGCACTGAGTATTCGACTAAGAAATGCAAAAAAAAAAAAAAAAATTACTACACGATTTTACCTTTTCATCACTGATTTTGCTGTCACTATTGCTTGAGTTTGAACTTCCATAGGTTTGCAACTCTTCCATATCAAAATCAAATAAAAATTGTTGAACTAATAATTAAACGATGTTAATAATTGAGTATAAACCTAGAGATTAAAGCAATATGAGAGATGTTTTGAGAGTATTGCTCTTTGTAAGTAACAAATGAGTACAGAGTTTGTAACAAGCAAAGTGACTACAATATAAAAAGTAGGGTTTAATTATTTTCATTCAAAAGGTGTACGTTGAGATATTTTTGTTCATAAAAGATGTGTATAGAGAATTTATGTATATAATATTAGGGG